ATTGTAAACACATACCGTTATACACAGTCACAATAAAATTGTAAACAAATACCGTTATACACAGTCACAATTAAATTGTTAACAAATACCGTTAAACACAGTCACAAAAAAGTTTAAACAAATACCGTTATATACAGTCACAACAAACATTGTACAAATACCGTTATACACAGTCACAAGAAACATTGTAAACAAATACCGTTGTACACAGTCACAAAAAAATTGTAAACAAATACCGTTATACACAGTCACAAAAAAGTTGTAAACAAATACCGTTATATACAGCCACAACAAACATTGTAAACAAATACCGTTATACACAGTCACAATAAAATTGTAAACAAATACCATTATATACAGTCACAATAAAAATTGTAAACAAATACCGTTATATACAGTCACAATAAAAATTGTAAACAAATACCGTTATACACAGTCACAATAAAATTGTAAACAAATACCGTTATACACAGTCACAATAAAAATTGTAAACAAACACCGTTATATACAGTCACAATAAAAATTGTAAACAAATACCGTTATACACAGTCACAATAAAATTGTAAACAAATACCGTTATATACAGCCACAACAAACATTGTAAACAAATACCGTTATACACAGTCACAATAAAATTGTAAACAAATACCGTTATATACAGTCACAATAAAATTGTAAACAAATACCGTTATACACAGTCACAATAAAAATTGTAAACAAATACCATTATATACAGTCACAATAAAATTGTAAACAAATACCGTTATATACAGCCACAACAAACATTGTAAACAAATACCGTTATACACAGTCACAATAAAATTGTAAACAAATACCGTTATATACAGTCACAATAAAATTGTAAACAAATACCGTTATACACAGTCACAATAAAAATTGTACAAATACCGTTATACACAGTCACATAAAAGTTCAAACAAATACCGTTATACACAGTCACAACAAACATTGTACAAATACCGTTATACACAGTCACAATAAAATTGTAAACAAATACCGTTATACACAGTCACAATAAAATTGTAAACAAATACCGTTATACACAGTCACAATAAAATTGTAAACAAATACCGTTATATACAGTCACAATAAAATTGTACACAGGTAAATATGCACCACATGTTTGCTGTGTGTTTGGTACCCCATATGTTTTCCATATGAAGAACATATGTGTTCCATGTGTTTTGAAAAACATGTGTTTAAGAACATGTGTTTTTCATATGTAAGATTAACATATGTAAACAGGACCATATGAAAAATATGTGTCAACAAACATATGTTAAACTCATGGTTATCACATGTTTTTCTTATGAATAAGTTTTCATATGTTAAATATATGTGAACTTTAATGTGTTTTTCATATGAAAAATTATGATCATATATTCTGCAAGATTTACACTTTCAACAGTCTAAATTAGATTCTACATGATTGTACATAAATTCTTAAAAGATTCTTGGTTAACGAAGTGTCCCCTAGGGAGTGACCTTGTTAAAATGTTCACTCATTAAAATCTAACTTATACCTAGTGTAGATCCTGTATGTTGAAACATTTAAGTGAAATTATATATATGTATATAATTATGCTTATAAAACAATTTTCAAACATTGAAGAATATGTAAAATATGTACTGCAAATATGTGTACAATTTATATGTAATCATTATAAATATATGCTTTTTTTTTATGTTGAAATATTTGAGAAAATAAACTTTTTATTACCTCCCTTTATTTACATGAAATGTAAAATTCGGTAATATTTTTTATTAATAATGCTTTTTGGAACTTACAGAATTGATAAATCTTAATTTGAGCATCATATTTATGATATAAAAACATTAAAGATTTGTGTCACAGGATCTTTAAAATTGTTTTATAAGCATAATTAAATACATATATATAATTTGACTCACATATTGACACACATTGAGATCAACGTTGAACACTTAATTATTAAGATCAAGCAGGACACAATTTATTAAACAATTGTAATGAAAAACATAAATGAAACACTGTTTCCTACCATATGAAAAACATATGTTATTCATATGAAAAACATGTGTCTGTACCATATGTAAAACATACGGGGTACTTTTCTTGGAGAAACCATATGTTTCTACCATATGTAAAACATGTGTGTCACATACGTTTAACATGTGGTGCATATTTACCTGTGTATATAGAAGATTTCTCTGGCTTATGTTGGAAAATGTCACATTACGATAACAAAAGCCCATAAACCCCACTCATTATTCAGTCAGTTTATTTGTTCGTCCGCCAGTCCGTCCGGAGCCATACCTGAGAATATTTTTGTCCAATTTTCTGGGAACTTGATAGTAATGTTTATAAGAATAGGAGCATCAGAATCAATAAGATTCATGTAAATCCATCAATTGGTTTTAAACTATGAACCTTTATTATTTTGAAAAAAAAAATGATTCAAGGAAAGTTGTTATATTGTGCACTTTTTACATGTGCATTGCATTGCAATGAAACTCAGCAAGCACGGATTGTAGGGTCAAATGATACCAAATTCTTATGTCTTTAAATGTATAAAGCTATATATCTGCTAAAAGATTGTTGTTTGAATTCTAAAAATGAATACTTCCAAAATGTTTGTATGACAGAAATATGGTAGTAAAGTACGTTAAGAAGAGAGTGGTACATGTACGAAATCATTGTTAAACGGATAAAACCAAACTAAAATAAGAGCATATTTTTTGTTCCGGAACATTTTATTCTGTTAACGTGCAGTATTCATGTGTGTTAATATATTATATATTACAACTCTTTCGTGAATTCACAATAGATAAATATTGAAAAAAGAATATTACCTTTGATTAACTTTACAAATAATATTTCATAGAATATATAGCAACATAAATTTATAGACCTTTTCACGACGCGGTCCGTTGCTATGAAAAATCGACCGGAAGTAGAATTTTCTCGCGCATGCGCAGTCTGCGTAGGGCAAAACGCATTGTCCTACATAGAAATATAGAAGAAGTTAATAGACAATTCCGAGTTAGTTTAAGGCAAAAGGTAGAAAATTATATAAAATAGCTTTTTACAAAAATAGAAAAGATGCCTTAATAGTTTTGTGGCGAAGAATGCCATAAAAAGGCTTGGAAAAGATAATTGTTTAAGAATTTACGATCACGGACCTGACACTTTTTGATCATTCTTTAAAGAAGATGTGGAAATATATCTATTAGCAAATGAAATGTCAACTTATTTGTTGTTGAAAGAGTTCATATAAAAACTTCAGAAATTTTATAACATCAAATCGAGATTAATAATTTATTATCATTCTGAAAAAAGTCAGAACAGGTGATAGTACATTTTTAGTGTTTAGTTTAGGCCCACCTGATTTTATCCTTTATCCAATTTGGCTGTGATGCAAACAGAAAAAAATTAAGTCACAGAAACATATCTTAATATATTTTTAATAATTATTTTTTTTTTCAAAATCTTGAGAAGTTGAGATGGGTTGTTGGGAAGTGACATAGCACACGATTTATCCGGTTCCTGGTAACACATCTTAATTTTTTATAATGCACGTCTTCACAAAATCAATACACATTGATCGGTATATGTAAAGTTACTTAAATTACGATTTTAATAACTGTACGTGATTAACTATATATGTCATGGTACTTAAAAACGTCCCGGTTGAATGAACAACCGGTCGCGTGTCAATCTGTTCTGGCCAAAGGAAGTGTACAATACAAATTGTGTAATATCATGTATTACAGGGTAATCAAATTTTATCTTTTTCAATTCAAATTACTGATGAAAAAGACGTCTAATGATACCTTACACAGACAACATGTGTATGCCCTTTTTGACCATTGAATTATTAGTCCCGCATATTTTCGTAGATTTGTTATAAATATCAATTTACGTTTTCAGTACTTGCCGCTTTAAGTCACCCCAAAATTAATATTCTCTGGTTGACATAACATGAAATCGCGTCTATTTAAGCCTTAAAGTATCATAAACAGTGGTCATCGTTATTGCATTTATGCCCTACGCAGAATGCGCATGCGCTAAATGCAGCATTCGTTACTATGGAAAATTCGTATTGTAAAAGGTCTATACAAAAGTAATGAACTATTGCTGTTTATTTATTGTGAAAATCTTAACATTATTTTAGGCATGTACCTTTGTTACTTAAAATGAGACTAAGTCTTTCTGAGGCAAAGTAACCATCTTATGCCAAAGTTTCCATGTTATTCATCATGACGTAATCCAAGATTGTTTCTAATAGTAACGAAAAGTTGTACAATAATGGCATTTAGTTGTTTTAGGATAATTAGTTTATCTGACGAGAGAGATCAAACTAAAATTGAAGAATCCAGTAAAGTCACCGTTCTTTTATAACATTTAGCATTTGTTCGCATTTGAAAACATCTTTTGCAAATTTATGTTTAATTGTATTTCTGATAGTTACAAACATAAAATAATTGACTATTTTACATAACAAACTTCTAATGCTATTAATTTATGATTTCTCAAAAAAATATTTTTACTATAAGAGCTAAAATAGTTTTGCTTGACACTTTCATAGTAAAACATGCATTATTACATGTAGAGATACCAAATTTATTTTCTTTCGTATTATGTACCTCAGATCATTTCAATGATTTACATCTTAAGGCGGAAATTCAATTCACCGAATATGCTTGCTTTGGAGTTGCGGTAATTGAAAACTAGACATAATAAAAAAGACATATTTAAAACATTCTAGTGATTCGTGGAATTCCACTTCATCATATGAAATATTTCCTTTTATCTGTAAAATGAATATTTATTTGATTCCTGTCAATTGCCGATTTGCTTTTTTCCAGCAGAGAATGACCCGTGCATGCGCAAAAGAGGGAACCATTTTAATAGATTACGCAAAGGTAACCGATATGGAAACACTCATTTTAAATGATAATATAAAACATAAGATAACATTGCGTTTTTGTTTTTTCAGCTCGTCAAAATGAAAATGGTGACGCTATATTGCAACCGAAAAGTAAAAGATCCGCCTCTAGACTCACTTTTGAAAAAGTTGGTGGTCATCACAGAACGGTGAGTAACACAGGTCATCTGTATATGTACTTCTTTAAAGTATTTCAATAACTTTATCATCTTTGTTTAAATTTTTAGCATTTGATTATTTAGAAAAAAAGAAACGAGGATAGTTTCGTGAAAATGAAATATATTAATTATAAATAGACACACGTTTTCACATCGAAATGTAAAAAGGTAAAATGCACACTCGTATCAACAATTGTATGTATCTGCCTTTTTAGAAGAAAAAAATAAGGATATAGAAATGGGATCCGTCCGTTTGTCTGTCTGTCTGTCCGTCTGTCACAGTTTGTGTCCGGTTCATAACTTAGCCATTCATCAAGAAATTTGAAATAATTTGTCACTAATGTTCATCAATGTAAGAAAAAGTGCCTTGCGCAACTCGATGACCCCTAACTCCAGGGCAAAGTCACACTTGGAGACATAATGTACCCACGGTCTGATGGTGGGTAAATTTCATGCTCGGTCCATAACTTTTTCATCAATGGAAGGAATTGAAAATAACTTCATGTTCACCATAATGTGACGACGTACACCCAGATCTAGACATACAAGATCAAGGCCACACTAGAGGATGAAAGGTCATTTTTTTATTAAGGGTAAATTTCGCGTCCGGTACATAAATCTTTGATCCATTAAGGAATTTTATACAGTTTTGCGCAAATGTTCAACGTAATAAGACGACGTGCCATAGGCAACACCTACCACAGTAATAACTTTTCTATTTATTAAAGAACTTTGAAATTAATACATATGCACAAATTGTCACCATGATAAGACCATGTATATTGCGCAACACTCATTCACCAAGATCAATATCACAATTAAAGGTCGAATTAATATCATTCGTACGCACATGAAATAATAGTGACAGGTTTTGAACCTTTCAATCGTTATATTAAGACCTGGATAATTAATCACTTTTCTGTACCAAATATTATCCACACCCTTGGGAATGGAATCTGTTAAAATATGAACCACAATACCTGTAAAGACACAAAAAGGAGTTAAAAGGGAGCAATAATCCCAATTAAAGGTAGGAAAACAAACAAGAACAAACAATTTATCAGACCAATTCAAATCAAGATATAATTTATATGCATCAGATTTCCAATCTCAAAAATGTTGATTAAGTGTTTGAGACACCCCTTACCTTTGAGCCAAAGTGGTGAAACCACGACGAAAACTGAGTATGAAAAAGCATGAATCATTTTAAAACACTCCCTTAATTTATTTTAAAACCAAATAAAAAGTTCTAACAGCACTGATATGATTTTTAATACTATCCACATACTTAAATGACCTACTAAGAAATTGAGCATACAATGGCAAGATACTAGTGGAAGCTGGCGAAAAGCACAATTTGAAATGTAAACAAAATAATAAAAAAACTTTCCCACTGAATACGCAAATTCTTCTGCGTACCCAAAGCAAAGGCTGATTCATGAGATTTAAATAAAAACCAAACATTACCAATCATACTGAAAATTAAACATCTGCAACTACAATATATTTAAGAAACTGACAATCAGAAACCAATGCAAATTTTCTTTACTGTACCTAGGATCTAAATCCAATCTAGATAGATAATCAGAGAGGCGATTTTCATCACTGCTTAAACTAACTGCTTTAATTTGAAACTCATTTATACAAGCAATAAAACACATTTCTCGCAGACATTGTTGTAAAAACTAACACATATTTTTGCCAGAACTTATAACAATGCAAACTGCTAAATTATCACAAAAAAGTATAACTTTTTTGCAAAGATCCTTACACCACAATTTTAAAGAAACAACTACAGACAACATGTAAAATAATGATGCTCAGACCCAGGTCCAAAATAAATTTTGGAAAAGAACTATGGAAAAATTCATCTCCGAAAATACCACCACAACCGGTTGAACAACTATCAGAACTGACCAGTCACCATAATCTATGAGAAACACACCATTATACAAAGGTAAAATGTATGCCACAATAAGATATCTTTTTCTAACTTGCTGAGGAATGAAAAAAGAAGTATCAGAAGAGCTATAACAATCACGTAACCAGTTCAAATTTGATTTACAAATAAACGACTTGACCTAACACAGGAACCGATAAAGTTTAGTTAACCTAAAAGCTTCTATCTTTCAACGAAGCATATTCCTTATACACCCAGGAAGCAATTCAATTTTCTGTAACCTGTCTTTCGTAACCTCCATTGTCATAGATTGAGTATTAAATAATACCCCTAAAAAGGTCATAACATGTGAAGGCGAACAAGCCTTATATCCAAAGCCTCCTCAATGCCACTTCTGATAACCAATTTCTTAAGAAAACAAAAGGCAAAATAAGCATGTTCCTTAATTTCAAATCCACAAAAATCATCTAAATAATTACAAACATAAAAACCAAATTTAAACATCATGAATGCAAAGGCATTAGTCACTCTCTGACAAATGAAAGATTGTAAACCCATAGAGAGAACATGATGATAGAGAAAATATAATGATGTTTCGGCACAAAACTAACTAGATTATAGTTGGAAGGACAAATACTAATTTGTCTTTAAGCTTTGCGAAGATCTTACTTATATAAAAGACAACCTGGACCTTTGAGATAAAATCATCTACTAAGATTACCCTATGTTCGTTAGGACTAGACTTAGGTATAGTGTTTAATGGGGAAATCACCATACCCTCTTCAAAGGAACATGAAGAAAAAGCCAATAATATATTCATGTGATGCCTCCTTAACTAAATAATCAAGCATGTGCTGCGGAAAATTCAAAGCACCCATGTGATTTTTAAGACTAGGTGATTTACCAAACAGAATCTCCTTACAATTATCGTTAACTTCAATTGGAAAACCATATCTCAAAAACTCAGTAACCTGAACATCAAAATAATCTACAAGCATATGATTCATGAAATATGTATCAATACGAGTATTAATAAGAATTTTACTACCCTCAAAGTTAGATTTACACGAAGCCTTAACTTTCTGACAAATTTCTATCTTTTGTAAAGTAGCAGATAATAATATATCTTTCACTGCAAAACAATGCTTTCTTTGAGGACAAAAAACATGCGTCCTTAGATATATTGTTAGCGTCAGAAAGTCGAACTGGATTCTTGCAAAACTCTTTAAGAAACAAATTATCGAGATCTTGTGACAGACTGTTATAATACCATTGGTCAGTCACTGATTAGTATGGGGGCATGCGCACACACATTCCGGATGAAATGAAGCAACTCTTTCCTTAGCCTGGGATTCAGGCGTTGATATTTTTTGCTTATTCATAACATAAGGACTCGGCCCAGTGAATTTTCGTATTCTTTGTTCAATCAGTCACATTTGAGGCTTAATTCTGGATTCCACTGTTCTTGATGAATTATAGACTGTCTTCAACTTTAAACATTAACACTAACAAGTCCAATGAGGTCAAAATATAAAAGGTTAGCCATCTACTTTTTTTTCAGAAATCTTCATTGTTTAAATTCACCACTTTAAAAACTCCTGACTGCTGGTGGGTAGTACATCTTTAATCCTTCCGCCAACAAATGAGTTCCTGGAGAATACACAAAAAAAACACAACTTTTAAAGTCATCAAATAACACACAAAAACTACATATATGCAATAAATACACTTTAATTATGACCAATCTAACTAGAGATGACTTAAATTGGGCCACTTCAAATTTTTAAAGAACTACTTTCTAGATTACAACGGGTTCGGTCTAATTCCGAACCGGGTTGAGACCATAAGCCCAGAAAATAGAAACAAACAACAAACAAAGGAAACCCTGAGCCATTTTAACTTGTTAATTTTAAACTTTTCGCTTGACGTTGTTGCGGTGCGGAAACACGAATGGCACAAATCAGCCACCAAACTATTTCCTTATTTACTGTTTCCTTTTTATTGGCTTAGATTGATTTCTGTAACTGTGTTATCATATCTGCCGGAGAACATCGAATATTTGCTTTAATTGTTTTCATATCATATCAGATTATTAAATTACATTAGGGAAATGTGTGTCACTGATGTCGATTATGCAACATTTTTTGAGACTTCTTTATAGAGTCTTTTTGTCGTCATAAACAGTTATCCTCGATCTAGTTGTTCCTCTCTGAACCGACACCCGGTGTAAGAGACATGTAGTCCAAGCAGTTTACAGTATCACCAAAAGTGGCCACATTCGAAACAGATCTCATTTGTAACACTTGTTAACAACTGCATTCGTATGTATTTTTGCAAAATGACAGACTTTTATGTTTTTTAAAGCTATATTGTTTTGAAATTTCTATAGTATCAGATGGAGAAAAGGTGGCCTATTTTTTTACACAAATACCTTCTTTGTTGTGTTTGGCGCTACAGCTTTGAAATTTAGATCCCCTACATTAGACGATATGCTTTTGAATTTTGATTAATTATGAGATAGATTGCCATCCTGTCATCTACTTTTGCATTGAGAAAAAAGATAATTTTATAATATTTTTATCATTTGAACAAATTCAAACAGTTCACATAGATGTTTACCTGAAGCCTACTTTTCATTGATAGATATCAATATCATCTGCCCCTTGTTATTAAGAGCTTTTTTAGTCGTTATAGTGCCACTATAGTTCTCTTGTAATTTTCTTACTGTACATGCATGTTTTATACATGTATTGTACAGCTATTATAGTAAATATGGATGTTACTTTTAGACTGTGTATGTTTTAATTTGATTATAAATGTCTTATATTTCATATGGTTGATTTATATTTTACATTGTTGTTTTTTTTGTATATAGATATTTTTTTTTTATATTTTGTGTATGTTTTATGTTTTTATATTAAAGTTGTCATCACTGGAGGAAGACTTCATTTATGCTGCTGAGTTTGGAGATATACCCACAGTCCAACGAATTCTAGACGAGAATCCCGCCCTAAACGTTGACTTTAGTGATATACTGGGTCGAACACCGTTACGTCTTGCCGTTGGAAACGAACACTTAGAGGTACATGTTCTACTCTTAATTATTTCGATATCCAGCGATCGTTTTGTTAAACCTTTCTTTTAAACGAAATATTCATCTAAAATTTATTCATATTTATTAATTTTAAATCAAATTTTAGTTAATTTTGTAAATGACACATTTCAAGCATAGCAGTGCCTATAGAGCTTTGTAGGAGCACATTTGGCACGGATCATATTTGTCACAAGGGTGTTACAATTGTACGTGCATGTTTGCACATTCATCATACATTAGAAATGTGTTCGATAAACTATAGAAGGGAAAGTTAAATAACATTTGAGAATTAAGTGGCAGTTCAACATTTAACTACCGTATTATTGGAGACAGCACAAAATCATAGGTAAAACTTTATAAAACAATTTTAGTCAAATATTTATTACTCATATACTGTTAAACTTATAGCTACATGCCTCCAGATGAGCGAAAATAGTTCGTGAAATAAACCATAAGAAAAATGTAGTAAGATTTTAAGAAAAGTATAAAGATTTAAGATTCAAGTAATAATTTACATGTTATGTGTGATTTTGGACTGATTTTGTAGTATTTATCACGATATTTCTACTACGTTACTTACGAAGTGAGGACTTTTTGTTTATTTTTCACCTCTTTTTTTGGTAATTTCCATGGATTGCAATTCCTATTTGCAATGTGTAAATTATTTTTTTGTTCACTCACAATATTTTAGTTCTAAATTCATTTTTAAAATTTTCATAAAAAGTAGCATAAATATTGAGGCATGCTACTTTAAAGTTAATTCCTCATACATGAACTATATTTCTATATACAGTTCTTTTTAGTTTGATAAGTCATTTTGACATGCAGCATTTTGAACCAAAGTTTTAAAATCACTTGCAACGATAGAAAAAATGAAACCATGCCTAATAATAAGACAAGATATTATACCACTCCCTCTGTCACTGCTACATACGTATACTTCTGCCATTATATCACTATCGTAACCAAATTATCTGCTACGGAACTTACACCACTACATTTACCCTCACTAACACTTCCACTTCTAACACTACTATCACTTTAATTGTCTACAATTGGTCTACAATGGCTACATTGCCCATAAGGATAAAGGTTCGATTCAGTTCGCCAGTTTCATTGTATGATTGATAACGGTGTTTTAGCATATTCGTAAGGTTTATACAGCGTAAAATATATGCGGTGCAACAGTGCCCCTTAAAAACTTCAATTAATACTTTTAAACAAAATAATGGTTTCATATGCATTTAGTTACTTAAAAAGTAAGTATCAATTTGAGACTTTAGATAGACAGACACATGATGGTACGATCCTTAAAGGTATATCTTAATAATCTTTTGATCGTGCAAACGCAAAATCCTATATTATAAGCATTTTCCGTACATCTTTGCATAACCAACTTGTTTTATCTTAAGAACTACCTTTTCTTACCGATAGGTTGTGGAACTACTTTTAGACAGGAGTAATCTTGCAAATATATATGAGGCATTGCTACAGGCCATTAGCTCTGGACACGAACAAATTGCAGAATCAATATTAAAACATCCAAAATACCAGGGAATGAAAAAGGAGCATAAACACTTTGGTGAAACTGACCATTTTTTTAACACGGCCAGTGAAGATTCGCCATTTTCATCAGACATTACGCCGTTAATTCTCGCTGCGGAGCGCAATCAGTTTGAAATCGTGCAGCTCTTATTACTGCGCGGTGAGACAATACGAAAACCCCACCATTATTATTGTAATTGCCAAGAATGCAGCAATAAGTTAGAGTTTGACCAACTCAGACTGGCTAAAACTAGACTCAATGCCTACAGGGGACTTTGCAGTGGAGCATATATATCACTGTCTAGTAAGGATCCTATATTAACAGCTTTTGAACTTGCGAAGGAGCTCAGAGGTGTGGCTAAAGTGGAGAAATACTATAAGGTGAGTGTTTATTAATAAAATCTTGTCGTTTATAAGTGTTGTCAGGAGAATGACTGCCTTGATGTTATTTAATCTAAGGAAAGATTTAGTAATAAATACTAGAACCTATTTCCAAGATATGGGGGCTTTGCAGCACCGCCTGACATAAAATTGAAATATTCTCAGTTGGAAAACTAGCATGTAATTGGTTAGTTAACACTATCTTTTAGGTATTTTTATCTTTTTCTATCTCAAATCAATATATGCATTTAAACAACAAACTCTGACTATTATTTACACCCAAAACAAATACACATCATTTATCAACCAAAAAAATAAACGCTACACACTATCAGTGTGTCTCTCCTAAAATATGATAAACAAGGTCATCAAGGAAAGGCGGCGTTCAATGAACTGATGTAAAATCTCTCTCAAAACTCGCATATTTTTCTGTTTTACCGATTTGACATTTAACATATATAGAGAGTTTATTAATAATATGCGCACAGCAAAAGGTTTACATTGAAATTTGATACATGTAGTGTACATTCAGTGTAGCGCTGTAGGAAAACATTAACTTTTTGTATAAAAAATATCTACAGTGAAACTGTATGATTATTCTGACAGCTCCCTACTCAAGAAAACACTCCACTGTTTTCAAACAAAATGAATAATATACAATGTCTTTTTTCAGGTATCGAGTCTACTTAATTAATCTGCACATACGTTGTCCTTTCCTTTCACAGCTACTATTCTAAACTTATAGTTCTGTAGAAATAATGCCCATCTCATTATGCGGCCTATTTCAACTTTACATTTCTGAATATATGTTAAAGGAGCATGGTCTGTATGCAGCTCAAATTCTTTCCCGTACAAATATTTGTTGAATTTCTTTATTCAATAACCGAGTAGTTTCTTTCTCTATTCAGCGTAAGCTATTGGAAGCAGACCATCAAATTGAAAAAGTGTAGCCGCAACTCCTGTGTCTGAAGCATCACATTGCAAAACAAATGACGTTGAAAAGTCTGGAAGTCGTAGTATTGGTGATCGTGTCAATACTTGCTTCAATGTTGTTAAGGCTTTTTCATGTTCTGGTTTCCATATGATTTTATTTGGCTGTCCTTTCTTCGTAAGATCAGTCAATGCTGCAGCAATTTCTGCAAATGAAGCAATAAATTTTCTGTAGTATCCAGCTAAACCAAGAAATGATCTCAGTTGCGTCTTTGACTCTGGTCGCATAGCGACTCTAATTTTACGAAAATTGTCATCTTCCATTTTAATTTGTCCTTTGCCAACAACATGACCGGTAAACGGTATACTTTCAAACCCAATCATACATTTAGAAGGTTTAACTATGATCCTCACTTCTCGTATTCTTTCAAACAATTGTCTCAACATCTTCATATGTCTTTCCCATGTTACAGTATGTCCAAGCACATCGTCTACATAGTTATCAGTATCATTCACCCCGTAAAGCAACTGCCGCATCATTCTATTAAATGTTGCACCAGAATTGACCATTCCGAATGGCATCTTTCTGAATTGGTAACTACCTTCTGTTGTAGAAAATGCTGTTAGATGTCTTGATTTTGCTTCAATGGGTATTTGCCAAAAACCTTTGGTCAAATCAATTTTCGTGAAGAACTTATCTTCTTTAAGCTTTGCCATCACATCCTCAACATTTCCCATTGGTTCTGTATCAAACTTTGTTACAGAGTTGAGTCGTCTGAAGTCGATAAAAAAGCGGTTTGTAGGTCTGAGGGATGTTGCACTTGTACATTATCCCTCATGTACAGACTCAATCAAACCGAGTCTGCAATTCTTATGTTATTTTGTTGTGATTAATGCTTCCGAAGGATCACTTTGTTTCCAGAATTTTGTATTATCCATTTTCTTCACCAAAACAACTGGAGAATTATAATCAGAATTTTCTGGTTCAATGATAACACATTCAAGCATTTTCTTAATTTCATCCTGTACCGTTGTTCTTTTTGCATATGGTATCGTATATTGTCTAACACGAATTGGTGTTTTGTCAGTCAACTCATTCTTGTGAGAGTCAAGATCTGTAATTCCAGGAACGTCAGTAAAAATATCCTCAAATTCTTGAAGCAACGCATTAACTTATGATTTTTGTTCAAGTGATAATTGATCGTTAACATTAACATCTCTGTATGTCTCTTCACCATGTGTGTCTACTAGTTCAACAACCCCAGTATCATCATTATTTTCGGCTTCTATTACAGCTACACTCGCACAAATTCTATCTTCTCGTTCTTCGTATTTCTTTAGAAGATTGATGTGATACATCCCGATTCTATCACCTACTTTTACTTTGTTGACAAACTTGTTAACTGCTTCACTTTCAACAAATGGACCTTTCCCTTGTAACATTAGTTTATTTTGTGTTGAAGGCAGGAGCAATAAAACTTTGTCTCCTTTCTTAAGACTTCTTGGTCGTGTTTTCATATCGTAATGATGTTTATACTCTTCTTGTGAGTTGCTGAGATTCTTTCTAGCAATCGTGCATGTTTGTTCTAATCTATTTCTTAAATCTAGTACGTACTCATACGTATAACGTGTCTCTGGTACTTCTGTCTCTGTCCATAACTCTTTTAGTGCTTGAATGGGACCTTTAACAGTTCTGCCATATAGTAGATCAAATGGTGAGAACCCTGTACTTGACTGAGGGACTTCTCTGTATGCAAAGAGAACCGCAGACAAATATCTGTCCCAATCCTTAGGTCTTTCTTGGCACATTTTCTTCAACATGCTTTTTAAAATACCATTAATTCTCTCACAAAGACCCTTACATTTTGGATTGTTAGGGGTAGTAAACAACTGTTTCAGTGACACAAGTCTACAAACTTCTTCCATAAGTTGTGACGTGAACTAACTACCTCTATCACTAAGTATTTCCGATGGGAAACCTACTCTTGAAAATATATCTAGCAATGCTTCAGCTATATTTTCAGTCTCTATTCTTGGTAAAGCAACAGCTTCTGGGTAACGTGTAGCATAATCAACTACAGTTACTATGTACCTATTCCCCTTTTCTGATACAGGCGTTATTGGCCCTACCAAATCAACCGCAATTCTCTGGAATGGAGTGTCAATAATAGGCATTTCACCTAAAGGAGTTTTCTGAAGTCTACCCCTGGGCACCGTCTTCTGACAAATGTCACAGGAACGACAAAATCTAGTTATATCACTAGAAATACCTGGCCAGTGAAAACTTGACTGTATCCTGTCTAAAGTCTTGCGTACAGACAAATGCCCACCAACTATAGATTCATGAGCTAATGACATAACTCTTTTGTGATATTTACAAGGAACAACTATTTGTCTTGTTCCAGACTTCAAATCACCTTTCATCGTCTCAAATATTCTATACAGCACATCTTTTTCTACTTCATATCTAAATTTGTTACCACTTTTTGTTTTCGTGATCTTATTTTCCCTAGCATACTGCCATAATCGATGAAACGTATTGTCATTTGATTGTTCTTTCTTAAGAACATCTACCGTAATTTCGTTATCTTCGACCTTTGGAACTTTAAGAGGTTTCATTGCTTTCTTCTCTTTTTCTGCCTGTGCTCTAGTAACAACAGAAGTTATGTTAGTTACTTCTCGGCTAACCCACTTCTCATTTGGCTTATTAAGTACACCCTGAATATTGTCCAAGACTAAAATATGAAAAACAAGATCAACAAGGAAAGGCGGCGTTCAATGAACGCAACCCCCATATGACCCAGCAACAAGAACCAATGGCAAGGAGCCCAGGCGGAACCCAAACAAAAACAAGACTTAGTCACAAATTGCTGACTATAAAACCATAGCTTCTATTTCACCCTTATAATAAGGTGTATCAATGTCTATTTTTGCCACGGGTACCAACCTGGCCCGACCATCTATTGCTATCATGACACAATTTTTCTTCAGCATTTGATCTTCTTCCACTAACTTCTTTCTAACTACTGCTAACTCGCAACTGTGTCTCTTAGAACTTTAACCCTTTGATTACCAACATATCCTAGTTTCAGATCCAATTGACTTTCACCTTCTAATGATTCAATTGTACAGCTACTTGTAATGACAGGCACAGAATTACCATTGGCTAACTTAAGTTTCCCCTCTTCAATACAACCATCATAAGAACTTGTTGGAAAAAATTGACATACATAACTCCGATACTTTCTTATCATCTGATTTACCATCACGTCTTTTTTCTCCAGGCCTACTACGCCAGTTCCTTGATATTCTGATTCTTTCTTTTGAACATAATCGCGTAAATCCCCGTCCTTCAACCCAAGCCTCTCTCCCAATGATACCCATTTCTCATACTCCATAATTGCTTAATAATGGATTACTATTCAATAAAATAATCAACTGCTACGAAACCCTGTAAGTAAACACTTATTACCCAACAAAATGGTGTACCTCTGCCGACACTTGTTTACCCAAATCAAATATCTCTGTATAACAATGCCACCTACCGGGCACCGGCAATGAAATTGTATTAACAGTAACAATCAGGGCACCGATAGTTATCTTCTTGTAGTGTTTAACAACTATGTAAACTTTATGACAACAACCAACTGAGCACCGGCGGCAAAAACTATCTATTCAACTATTACATACACTTTTATGAATAATCACCCACTGGACACCGGTTATAAATTTTTATCAATTACTGATGTCTAACTTCAACAAATTATAAGCTATATCTTTATCATTGATATAAACTTATTAACACAATGATTCAAACTATCACAACAAATGTCTCCCCAAAACCACTTAAATCTATCACCGTATAAACAGTATTCAACAAAGGGTGCTCTCCTGCTAAAGTGCAATTAATTCTTCAGTATACATAAAATTTAAACACAGTCCGTCACCGCTTCTCTACATATAAACCTCTATTTAAACTCTATTGTACAGATATTTTACTTGTATATAAAACTACCCGCAGGTTTATCGATTTTCGCCTAACAGCTTTTACACTGCTCTATTTTACCAAA